GTGTCTTTTGCAATTATTTCGGTCGTAGTATGGTAAAGGAGGCCTCAATCTATCGTAATCATGAAAAAAAAAAAAACCAACTTAAAATTTCCCAACACTTAGCCAATTCTGTGGCTTCCAATATGGCATGTCTGTGATTCACCTTCTGAAATGTTATCTGTATGTAAGCACACAAAGATGTACATCTTGACTGTTACTGACGACATCTCTCCACGACCCCCATTTCAGAAACTGAAGTGTTGTAAGATTCCACTTGACAGCTGTCGCGGCAATTTTGTTTGTAGCCAATCCTTGCTCAGGCTTTTGCTACCGCACCTAATGCACATCCTTCTTTGACGATATGAGAGGTGGCGGCGGGTGAACATCGAAGGGACGAATCACAATCGTCGTCACCTTGCAAGCTTCGAGCTTCGCTGGTGCACCAGCACAGCAGCGAAGTTGCCTGCTCACCACCCTGCTAGAGCACCAAGGTTCTCGCTTATGCGAGTTAAAGTCGAGAGAACTTCAGCTCTCCCCCCCAGTAATTCGCCATTCCACTTCCGCGGCCTTCAATCGGTTGTCAGCGCCAGTGCCGGTGCCAGTCGTAGCAGCCGTAGTGGCTGGTTCATATTCTTATTTTGTTGCCATCGCCTTTCTGCATATCTTCAGCTCTCGTTGTGCGTCTTACTCAAATGTATTCGCCACTACTCAAATGTTTGCGCAGGCAGTCATCTTCTCGAAGTCGTCGTGAGTCGTGAGTTGGCGCATAAGGACCGTGGTATTTCCCTTATTGTCGCGCAATTCTGCACGGTGTTATCCTGATTTTCCGTCCAACCTACTGCGCCTTCGCTTTGCTTGCGTTGTCTGTTTCTTGTGTTATGTTTCTCTGTACTACGCAGGAATTGTATGACAAGTGTCCTTCTCAACCCGTGGTGAGAGGCAGGGATTTGCTAATTGTGTTCTTTTTGCAGGTTGCGTAATTCCTGGCGATTCCGCACGGCAGGTGGTTGCCGCTCTTTGTGATTGCTACTGTTAATGTTTGACCGGAGGCTGTTGATGTTAATCCCGTTTTCCAGGATTGGTATTTGTCGTCTCAAGGCTTGCTAATGTGCAGGACCGGTGACATACCTATGTTAGGTCGCAATAGTGACGTCATGGCGGTTCGTTGAGTTGACGGGAATTATTTAAAGATTGGTTTTGTCGTGCCTTGTTAATGTTCAATATACATATTTATTCGAGTACTGGCCATCGAAAAGTAAATATGGGATGCTAATATTACAGTTGATGTTACAACTAGTGTATTAGGGTAACTGTTGTTACCACATAAATTAAACAATACGTTTATAACAACCGTTGAGTAATATTTGTCAGAATATATCTGTAACTGCCTGTAGCTCTAGTTAGTGTAGTTATTTTAAACTTTGTTTGGTGGTGCACCATCTTTGTTTCCTTTGCTATATGTTCTTGCAAACCTATAGTGAAGCCCTCTTTCTCCTCTCTCAACTTTCTCGACTTTCATCAACCCTAAACCTAAGCTACTAAGGCAACTAGCAATGGCTCCTAAGCCTACTAAACTCTAGGAACTTCAACATGGTATTCAAAGCAGGTACTTTCCTACTGCCTTCCTGCTTCCGCTGCCTATCGTCCTGCCGCGCGGCGTGGCGCACGGCGATTTTCTGCCCGCCGTGTACTCGGGGCGCACGGCGGGCTTTTGCCCGCCGTGCGCCCTGGGCGCGTGGCGTCTTCCTGCCCCGCGCGTTGCCTGCCCTCACGCCGCCTGCGCGCCTGCCTCACGTCCACGGGCGGGCCTGTTTTGCCAGCCCGTACCCTCCACTTCGCGGCGCCCTGCGAGGCGCCGCTCCTGCTCGTCGCGACGCACCTGCGGGACCCAGGCGTCGCCGCTCCTGCTCGTCGCGACGCCCCTGCAGGACCCGCAAGGCGTCGCCTTGCTCGTCGTGACGCCACTGCGGGACCCGCGGGGCGTCGCCACTGCTCGTCGCGCCGCCCCCTGGACGCCGCCCCTACTCGTCGCGGCGCCCCTGGGGCGTCGCCCCTGCTCGTAGCGACACTCCTTGGGCGCCGTCCCTGCTCGTCGCGGCGCCCTCCCCCCTGCCTCACCTGCGCCCGCACCAGCATTGCAGCCGAGCGCGGGCCTACCTTGCACCAGCGCCGCCCCTGGACCTCAGCAGCAGCCCCTGGAGCAGCCGCCCCAGCAGCAGCAGCCCCTGGAGCCGCCGCCCCAACAGCAGCAGCCCCTGGAGCCGCCGCCACTGCAGCGGCCGCCCCAGCAGCAGCAGCGCCTGGAGCAGCCGCCCCAGCAGCAGCAGCCCCTGGAGCCGCCGCCGCAACAGCAGCAGCCCGTGGAGCCGCCGCCACTGCAGCGGCCGCCCCAGCCGCAGCAGCGCCTGGAGCAGCCGCCCCAGCAACAGCAGCCGCCTCTGGACCCCGCGAGGCGCCCCAGCAGCAGCCCACGGCGCCGACCCCACAGCTGTATGCGCCGCCGCTCCTGGACTCGGTACGGCTGCCCTTGCCTGTGCTGCCTGTTGCCGCCCGTTGCTGCCTGTGCCTGTGCTACCCGTTGCTGCCTGTTGCTGCCCGTGCCTGTGCTGCCTGTTGCCGCCCGTTGCTGCCCGTGCCTGTGCTGCCTGTTGCTGCCCGTGCCTGTGCTGCCTGTTGCCGCCCGTTGCTGCCTATGCCTGTGCTGCCTGTTGCTGCCCGTGCCTGTGCTGCCCGTTGCCGCCCGTTGCTGCCCGTGCCTGTGCTGCCCGTTGCCGCCCGTTGCTGCCCGTGCCTGTGCTGCCCGTTGCCGCCCGTTGCTGCCCGTGCCTGTGCTGCCTGTTGCCGCCCGTTGCTGCCCGTGCCTGTGCTGCCTGTTGCTGCCCGTGCCTGTGCTGCCTGTTGCCGCCCGCTGCTGCCTGTGCCTGTGCTGCCCGTTGCCGCCCGTTGCTGCCCGTGCCTGTGCTGCCTGTTGCTGCCCGTGCCTGTGCTGCCTGTTGCCGCCCGTTGCTGCCTGTGCCTGTGCTGCCCGTTGCTGCCTGTTGCTGCCCGTGCCTGTGCTGCCCGTTGCCGCCTGTTGCTGCCCGTGCTTGTGCTGCCTGTTGCCGCCCGTTGCTGCCCGAGCCTGTGCTGCCCGTTGCCGCCCGTTGCTGCCCGTGCCTGTGCTGCCTGTTGCCGCCCGTTGCTGCCCGTGCCTGTGCTGCCTGTTGCTGCCCGTGCTTGTGCTGCCTGTTGCCGCCCGTTGCTGCCTGTGCCTGTGCTGCCCGTTGCTGCCTGTTGCTGCCCGTGCCTGTGCTGCCCGCTGCCGCCCGTTGCTGCGCGTGCCTGTGCTGCCCGTTGCCGCCCGTTGCTGCCCGTGCCTGTGCTGCCTGTTGCCGCCCGTTGCTGCCTGTGCCTGTGCTGCCTGTTGCTGCCCGTGCCTGTGCTGCCTGTTGCCGCCCGTTGCTGCCCGAGCCTGTGCTGCCTGTTGCTGCCTGATGCTGCCCGTGCCTGTGCTGCCCGATGCCGCTCGTTGCTGCCCGAGCCTGTGCTGCCTGTTGCTGCCCGTGCCTGTGCTGCCCGTTGCCGCCCGTTGCTGCCCGTGCATGTGCTGCCCGTTGTCGCCCGTTGCTGCCCGTGCCTGTGCTGCCCGTTGCCGCTCTGCTGCTGTCCGCGCCCTTGTGGGCTCTGGTCTGCCTGTGCCCTCGTGCGCTCTGTTCTGCTCTGTCGCCCCTGCCCCCCCCCCCTCCCCTCTTCTTCGTCTCCTTGCTGCGCGTGCAGCCGTGGAACGGAGGCTCTGGGGGTGGCGGGTATGGGGGTGATGGGTGTGTGTGATCCCCTTCCCCTCCTCCTCCTTTCTCTCCCACTGCTGCAGCTGCCGCAGGGGGGGGTGGGTGTGAGGGTGTGGGGGAGCTGGGAGAGAGGTGCTAGGGTTGTCAAGGAGTGTGGAAGGGGGAGTTGGAGGACTGAGGAAGGTTCCAGGAAGCAGCCGCCTTGGAGCCAGCAGCTTCACCTGCCAGCAACCTCTCCTCATATAGTCCCTCCTCCTCACTTGCCCTCTCCTTCTGCTGCGCTTGGTGTACCCCTTCAGGGGGTGTCTCTGCATTAGCTTCTGCTGCAGGCAGTTATGGGGGAGTGTCAGAATATATCTGTAACTGCCTGTAGCTGTAGTTAGTGTAGTTATTATAAACTTTGTTTGGTGGTGCACCTTCTTTGTTTCCTTTGCTATATGTTCTTGCAAACCTATAGTGAAGCCCTCTTTCTCCTCTCTCAACTTTCTCGACTTTCATCAACCCTAAACCTAAGCTACTAAGGCAACTAGCAATGGCTCCTAAGCCTACTAAACTCTAGGAACTTCAACAATATTGCGGTAACAAGGCTATCGACGTGGCGTAACAATGGATACTGTAACAGTTACAACCCTTTGGTAACCATTGTGTTACTGTAGCGCCGCCTCGGCCGCTATTTGATCCGTTGTAAGCAAATCTAGAATCGCGTACTGAAACATTTGTTTCACCAATGCAGGTTCACATTCCATTTATCAGTGAGAAATTACATAGTGTCGAGCTACTCTATGGCGAACCATCCTACCTCGACAAAGTCACAAATGTTTTGCTGGAACCCGAAACTCTGCACCCGAAAAACCATCGCAAAAATTCCCCCAGCGATGTCATTCAAACCTCAAGGGAGTGGCCGGCATGCTGTTTTACACACAGGTTCACCTTCCGATGGTGTCTCAATAGGCGCCGTACAGATTGAAGATGCCGATGGGCGACGGTGGTGTTTTAGGAGCGAGAACCGTGCTGGCGGTGAGGGATATTAAGGTTGACGCCATGACGGAGCCGCTGCTCTGCCATCGACTGGAGAAGGATAACTTCCCCGTGGTGCGTGCTGCTGACGTGGCGTGTGCTGCTGACGTGGTGTCTGATGCTGATATGCAGCTTGTCCTGCTGTTATGGGGCTTGTTTCAGCTGACTTGGTGCATGCGCTGCTGACGTTCGCCCATCCGTCCTCTTTCCCACCCCCGCGCTTTATCCACGTGTCAGGCATTGAGAGGAGCAGTGGCTGATTGGCCGGCGGTGGCCCAATGGGACCTCATCAACAGCTCTCACGCACGGGGATACTTGCAGGTGCACGACTTTCCATGTAGCACTTTGCTTTTGGGCGTCTGGGGAGTTCTGTGTTTGGCTTTTCTGCTATATTCCACACGCTCAGGCTCAGCTACCCTTTTGAGGCGCCTCAAAAGGCGTCTGGGGAGTTCTGTGTAAGGCTTTTCTGCTTCATTCCACGCGCTCAGGCTCAGCTACCCTTCCTTCGCCTGTCCCCCCTCCCCCCCCGTCTTCCCCCTGCACACCAATCACCATCCATCTCCCATTGCGTGCAGCTTATCATGACCCGCACAGAGCCGCTTATCTCTGCCACGCGCTCAGATGCTCCTGCTTCGCCTGCTTCACCCCCCCTTCCCCCTCTTCCCCCGCGCACACCAACCCCCTTCTTTCTCCCATTCCATGCAGCATCTGGTGGGATCAGCTCCCGTGCAGCTCATCACGACGCACTCGGAGCCAGCGCATACAGCATACTGCTACCACGCGCTCAGATGCTCCTACTTCAGAGTGTTTTTGAGAATTCTCAAAAACACCCTGTTTCGTCTCCCCTGGTACACCATCTCCCTTCCTCTCCCATTCCATGCAGCATCTGGTGGGATCTGCTCCCGTGCAGCTCATCATGACCCGCACAGAGCCACACATCTCTGCCATGCGCTCACAACAATCACATAGGGCGCAGTCACATGCGACACAGTCACATACGGCTCAATCACAAGCCTCGCAGCAGCCATTTGCTTACTTCGATGGGGCATTGCGCAAGCACGAGCGGGTGAGTCCTTATCTTTCTGCTGCTTTGCGCCGCCATGCATGCTTTCATCAATCAGTCTAAGGTACTATAGAAGTCAAGCTTCGCTTTTGCACATGCATATCAGTTGCTGCGATGGTTTAGGCTTTCAGAACTTGCCTTGCATCTGAAATCGTGAGAAAAGAAGCATTCTTATTTCGCCTATATTCCTCTTTGGACCAAAGCATCCTTCATCTTTCAAAGCATCCTCCTTTGAGCAGCAAAAATCTCCTCACCCTCCTACTCCTTATATTGCTCATGTTTCGTACCCAGGTAGCAGCAACATTTTCTGATGCTCTTGCACTTGCGTGTGCGTCTCCCCTTGCTGTGGGAGCTGAAGCAAGTGCCAGTAGGGGAAGCCACAGTGTTGCAGCTGCCACTCCTGCCACGGGTACTGCTAACAGTGGTGTTGTCACTCCTGCCCCTCCAGCCTCCGGTGCTCCTGGGAATGGTTCTGCTGGCAGTGCTGAGGAGAAGGGAGACGGGGTCCGGATGCAAGGGGGTGAGGGGAAGTGGAGTGCTGGTAGTGCTTGTGCTGCTGGTGGTGCTGCTGGTGGTGCCGGTGCTGCTGGTGCGGCTGCTGCTGTTGGGAATGGTGCTGCTGGCAGTGCTGAGGAGAAGGGAGACGGGGCCCGACCGCAAGGGGGTGAGGGGAAAGGAACTGAGGCGGGAGGGGGCGAGGAGGAGCAGGGCGGTGGGTTGCAGGAGATGATACGAGCCATGGCGTCCGGTGCAGCTCCACTGGCGTTCTACCTCGCCCAGGTGTGTTTCTGTAGCAAGTGAGGGCTCTAGGCTAGGCAGTGATGAGGAAGAACAGAGCAGGTCTTGAGTGAGACCATTAGGCTCTTGAGCTGCGTCCGGTGCAGCTCCACTGGCGTTCTACCTCTCCCAGGTGTGTTTCTGTAGCGAGTGAGGGTCAGTGGAGCTGCCAGTGTTTCTAAGCTAGGCAGTAATGATGAAGCACAGAGCAGGTCTTGAGTGAGACCATTAGGCTCTTGAGCTTGGGGGCATCTCATGGCAGAGCAACTCTGTGGGAGAAGAGCGGGCAGTGTGGCGTATGCCATGGACCGTACGCCATGGACCGTACGCCATGGACCGTACGCCATGGATCGTACACCATGGAGCAGAGGGGGTTATGGTACGATCCATTCCCACAACCCCCCTTTGCAACTTTCTCTCCGCCCCCCTACTCTCCCCGCTCTCCCCCCCAAACATTCTCCCCATGTGCCACGCACATTCCATGAGGAAAACCCCACCTGGGATCGACAGCAGTCACACGGATCAGTGCTCATGAGTGAAAAGAGAAAGTTTTGAGACGTCTCAAAAGTCCTCTCTTTACACGTAACCCCATCTGAGATCGACAGCAGTCACACGGATCAGTGCTCATGAGTAAAAAGGGAACTTTTGAGACGTCTCAAAAGTCCTCTCTTTACACGTAGCCCCATCTGAGATCGACAGCAGTCCAGCAGTGGGAAGGATTGTACTAGCAAAGAGACGACAGTCACATGGGCAGTTCCCGCGTGCATTGAAGTGTATTTTGAGGAGCCTCAATATACACGTCACATGGGCAGTTCCCACTCACCTACTCTCCCCCACCCTCCCCTTTCTCCCCTTTCTCCCCTTTCTCCCCTTTCTCTTCCTTCCGATCCCTCCCACATTCTTCCCACATGCCTCACTCACATCACATCACCTATACCCGTTGCAGAATCCCATCTTGGTTTTGAGTCGACTCAAAACTTCTCCCACCTCCCATCCCTCCCACATTCTTCCCACATGCCTCACTCACATCACATCACACATACCCGTTGCAGAATCCCATCTTCGACCGCCAGCAGCCACATCAACAATTCCCACTCTCGCCCTTGCTGCAAGATGCTCCTATCGTATGCTAACCAGGATTCGCAAAATCTCCTTTCGAGTAGGCATGAGCATGGGCTGGGCAAGGGCGCGGCCGACCAGAGTGGCCGCGTATCAACTCATTCCTAAATCACTTTTGTGTGGCTGAATACCAAGCTATTCCAGGCTTCACACTACTCTTTCGAGTAGGCATGAGCATGGGCTGGGCATGGGCGCGGCCAGAGCGGCCAGAGTGGCCACTTGTTGAATTTGCCTGGCCCGGCCCGACCTATTTACCGTTCAATTGCGAAGTCTGTATATTAGACAACTTTTTCCGCTGCTGCCGTTGTTGCAAGCTCATTGTTTTGATGCCAGTTGTTAACGTTTTACGTTTTCCAATCCAGCATCCCCCATTGCCTGCCCCTTTCGCCTGTCCAGCCATCGGTGCTAGACGCAGATGGTACTTTTGAGAATTCTCAAAAGTACCATCGGTGCTGGACGCATCTCGCCTGACGTTGGCCATTCTGTTGCAAGATTGCTGCTTTTTTTTTTTTCTTTTTTTTTCTTTTTTTTTTTTCTTTTTTTTTTTCTTTCTTTCTTTTTGGTGAACATGTTACATCTTTTAATTCAAAATATGCTAACTGCCTGCCCCTTTCGCCTGTCCAGCCATCGGTGCTGGATGCATCTCGCCTCACGTCGGCCAATCTGTGGATGACACTTGGCGGACCCTCCTCCTCCTCGCCTCACTACGACCTCTTTCACAACCTGCTCTGCATTGCGACCGGCTCTAAAACAGGTGAGGATGGTGGTGCTGCTGCTGACTGCGCTGCATTAAGGATTGCCCCTCTTTTCCTCCCATCCTTTCGAAGTCATTCTGATGTACTTTGAAGCTTCAAGCTACCAGCTTATGAACAATTTCATCTCAATCTCTTCGTTCATGACACGGCTTCCCTTCTTCCTTCTACTATTCCTTCCTGCCACATGTAGAGAGGGTGTTTTTGAGACGGTCTCAAAAACACCCTCTCTAAACGTTCCTGCCACATCCTTTCCGAACCAGAGAAGCTTGGCTATGGTGCCATTTCCCGTTTCCTGTCCTTCCTTTCATCCCACTGCTGATTCCGTCCCCATGCATCTCTCGGCACCCCACCCGACCACTCTCTACCACACTGCACCAGGACAGGTCGTCTATGGCCCCTACCAGCAGCTCAAATTTTGTTTCTTTTCCCCCTTCTTCTCAAATTACTCGTGCTCTCCCCCTTCCCTTGATACCCTGCGTAACCGCACCCCATTCCTCACCTCCGCACCCCACCCCTCCCCACCGCACTGCACCAGAGCAGTTCGCCTGTGGCCGCCATCATCAGCCCATCTGCTGGACCCCATGCCTCTGTACTCCGAATCATCCAATCACGTGTCAGCACCTGTCACCTGTCCTTTCCTCTTCCTTGCTTGAGTTGAATCTAGTTCTGAGGCATCTCAATCTTCCCCTCTCTCAAACTCTCTGCCTTTCTTTCTTTTTCTGATCATGTGTTCGTATTAATCTTCCTTCTCTCTAACCGCCCCCATGGGTGCCTCTTCTGCCGCTGCTGCTGCCTCTGCTGCCGCTGCTGCCTCTGCTGCCGCTGCTGCCTCTGCTGCCGCTGCTGCCTCTTCCTTTTCTCCACTAATTTCCTCCATGCGTGCTTTTGTTCGAAGTAAGCTTACAGAGCAGCTGATATCATCGCATTGTTCTTCTGAGTATGTTTTTCTCGAATTCTCAAAAGACATGCTCTGCTGATCATTGCATTGTTCTTCTGCAAATAAGTCTGTCACCTTCCTTCTCTCTCCCCTCCCTCTCTTATCTATTCCCTTATGTCTCCACCTCGTGTCCCTTGTCCTCTCGCCCTGCAGCCATCCGCACCAGTCACGTGTATGAAGATTCGTTTTGAAAAACAAGGGACAATGAAGATTTGTCACGTCTCGAAGCAAATCTTCATACTTATGTCTCCACCGCGTGTCCCTTGTCCTCTCGCCATGTAGCCATCCCCACCCGTCTCCTCTCCATCTCTCCTCAGCAACAGCAGCTGCAGCAGCCACTGCCTACCCCTCACCTCTCCATTTCCTTCCTGCCTATTCTCCTCCCCCATCTCCTGCCTCCGTGTTCTCTTGCCATGCAGTCATCCCCACCCGTCTCCGCTCCATCTGTCCCAAGAGGCAGCAGCGGCAGCAGCCACGGTGACTCTTCATGCGGGGGACGCGCTCTTCCTGCCTGAAGGCTGGTGAGCGGTGGGAGGGGGGGAGGGATAGCATGTCCTGCTGCTGATACTACATGGTTGCTTGGATTAGTGGTAGCAGCAGCGGCAGCCATGGTGACTCTGCATGCAAGGGACGCGCTCTTCTTGCCTGAAGTCTGGTGAGGGAGGGAAGGGGGGGGGGGGGGTGATGAGGGCAAGAGGTGCTAGTGCTGCTGGGTATCTGGCAGCACTGTGACTCTTGATGCTGGGGATGCACTCTTCCTGCCTGAAGGCTGGTGAGCGATGGCGTGGGAGGGAGGGGGTTGCGGGAATGAGAAGGTGGGCGGAGAGAGTGGTGAGGGCATGTGTTGCTGGTGAGGGCATGTGTTGCTGGTGCATGGATGGGCTGGGTCCCCATCGGCAGCAGCCACGGCGACTCTTGATGCGGGGGATGCGCTCTTCCTGCCTGAAGGCTGGTGAGCGGTGGGAGGGAGGGGGGGAAAGCATATCCTGCTGCTACATGGTTGCTTGGTTAGTGGCAGCAGCCACTGTGACTGTTGTTGCAGGGGACGCGCTCTTGTTGCAGGGGACGCGCTCTTGTTGCAGGGGACGTGCTCTTGTTGCAGGGGACGCGCTCTTGTTGCCTGAAGGCTGGTGAGGGAGGAAGGGAGGGAGGGGGGAGTTAGGACGGGAAGGCGATTGGTGATGGCTTGTGCTGCTTGTGAGTGGTTGGGTTACTGGTAGCAGCATCAACTTCAGTGTTGGCAGCAGCTGCCACCATGCCGTCATGCCATCATGCCATCATGCTACCATGCTACCATGCCACCATGCCACCATGCCACCATGCCACCATGCCACCATGCCACCATGCCACCATGCCACATGCCACCATGCCACTATGCTACTACTTGCAACCATGCTGTGGCATGCTTGCAGGTACATGTGTGCAGGTACCACCAGGTTACCAGCACACCAGCCACCATGCCATCATGCTAATACTTGCAACCATGGCGTTGCGTTGCATGCTTGCAGGTACCACCAGGTTACCAGCATACCAGCCACCATCGCCATCAACTTCTGGTGGCCCTCCTTAGTGTGCCTCTCGTTTGGATCACACATGGACCTCTATTACGCAAGGAGAGTGCTCACAAGGTGTGACGTGTGTGATTAGTGTGTTCTTTCCCGACCTTTGGTTCACTCTTTAGTGTGCCCCTCGTTTGTGTGCCTCTCGTTTGGGTCACACCTGGACCTCTACTCTCCAAGGAGATTGCTCACAAGTTGATAAACTTCACTGTGATTCACTAGGTTTGTGATTACCTGATAGGTCCTATAGGGCATGAATGGTGCACGGCGCACTAATTCAACACATCCCGTTCCGCAATCTATTTCTCTGCGTGAACTTCTGTTTCTCCCGTTCTCCATCCCCTTTTCCCTGCCACTCCCCCCTCCCTTTTCCTTTTCGTGCCCCTCCCCTACATGCTCTGCTGGTTGAAGCCTGCTCGAAGCTCATAAGGTGTGTACTGTATGTTTTTCGAGAGAAAAAAAAAACACACACACACACAAAAGGTGTGTACTTCTCTTCAGGTTGAAGCCTGCTCGAAGCTCATAAGGTGTGTACTTCTCTTCATTCTCCTCATAAGCCTGCTTGTTTCTCTCTCACGAATGCTAAAAATTCCTCATCGTTCCAACAAGTTGACTCATTTTCTGAGCCGCCCGCCCAAAAACAAAACTTGCTCGCACACACAATTGACTGGTGTGACGGTCTTTGCTTTTCTTGGCATTCGCTTTGTTCCTATGTGGCTGGTCGCAGGAATGCACGGCAAAGCGAGCAGCACTGACAGACGCAGGAGGGGCGGAGGGTGAGGGTGCTCCTGTTGAGGTGCTTCAAAAGGCAGGAGCGGTGGAGGGTGAAGGAGGAGGGATCAATGGGCGAGGAGAAAAGCCGGCAGAGTTGCCGACCAATGTAGGAGGGACGGAGTGCGAAGGGGCTGCTTTTGAGGGGCGTGAAAAGGCAGGGGTGGTGGAGGGTGAGAGAGGAGGCAGCGACATTGGGCGATCAGAAATGCCAGCAGCAGCAGAGGTGACTTTTGAATTGATTGAAACGCTGACAGGAGGGGTGGGGCTTAAAGGAGAAGAAGGAGCAAGGGTGGAAGGGGGAAAAGGAAGGAGAGAGGAAGCAGGAAGCGAACGGAGGGAGGAAGAGGGGAAGGGAAGGAGGGAGGATTGGGGGAAGGGAAGGAGGGAGGAAGAGGGGAAGGGGAGGCGGGAGCTGATGGAAGGGTTGAGTGAGAGGGAAAGAAAGGCGGTGGAATCTCTTGTTCTTGCCGCTGCTGCTGCTTCTGCTGCTGCCGCTACTCCTCCAGCAGCTGCTTCTGCTGCTGCTCCTTCTGCTGCAGCTGCTGCTACCCCTGTTGCGGCTGCTGCTGCTCGTGCCTCTCCTGCTACTGGTGCTGCATCATTGGGGAAACGGAAGCCTGTTGGTGCGAGGAATGATGGGGGGAAACGTAGGCGAGAGGAAGGGAGGCACAAAGGCAAGGAGGGTAGTGAGGTGGGTGGTGAGTCAAAAGGGAAAGGAAGAAAGAAGAAGAGGGGGGAGTGGGAGGAGATGCAAGAGGAGGAAGAGGGGGAACATGAGGAAGAGGAGGACGAGGAAGAGGAGGAGGAGGAAGAGGAAGAGGAGGAGGAGGAAGAGGAAGAGGAGGAAGTGGAGAAAAAAAGAAACGACATTTTTTCGAGAGTGGAGACTGTGATTGCTGCTCTACACCCGGCCTCACTACGCAATGTGCTCCTAGTCATGGCTGTACGTAATTTCTGAGACTTGTCCAAAATCACTCAAAAGGGCTGTACGTGCTTCGAGAGTGGAGGCTGTGATTACTGCTTTGCCGCCAGCCTCTCTACGCAATGTACGTGCTTCCATGGCCCTCATGTACTTCTAGTCATGGCTGTATGTAATTTCGGAGACTGCTCATAAATCGCTCACAAGGGCTGTACGTGATTTGTAAGGGGCGGCTGTGACTGCTGTGTTGCCCCCGGCCTCGCTGCGCAATGTGCTTCTAGTCATGGTTGTACGTGCTTTGTAAGGGGCGGCTGTGACTGCTGTGTTGCCCCCGGCCTCGCTGCGCAATGTGCTTCTAGTCATGGTTGTACGTGATTTGTAAGGGGCGGCTGTGACTGCTGTGTTGCCCCCGGCCTCGCTGCGCAATGTGCTTCTAGTCATGGTTGTACGTGATTTGTAAGGGGCGGCTGTGACTGCTGTGTTGCCCCCGGCCTCGCTGCGCAATGTGCTTCTAGTCATGGTTGTACGTGCTTTGTAAGGGGCGGCTGTGACTGCTGTGTTGCCCCCGGCCTCGCTGCGCAATGTGCTTCTAGTCATGGTTGTACGTGCTTTGTAAGGGGCGGCTGTGACTGCTGTGTTGCCCCCGGCCTCGCTGCGCAATGTGCTTCTAGTCATGGTTGTACATGCTTTGTAAGTGGCGGCTGTGACTGCTGTGTTGCCCCCGGCCTCGCTGCGCAATGTGCTTCTAGTCATGGTTGTACGTGCTTTGTAAGTGGCGGCTGTGACTGCTGTGTTGCCCCCGGCCTCGCTGCGCAATGTGCTTCTAGTCATGGTTGTACGTGCTTTGTAAGGGGCGGCTGTGACTGCTGTGTTGCCCCCGGCCTCGCTGCGCAATGTGCTTCTAGTCATGGTTGTACGTGATTTGTAAGGGGCGTCTGTGACTGCTGTGTTGCCCCCGGCCTCGCTGCGCAATGTGCTTCTAGTCATGGTTGTACGTGCTTTGTAAGGGGCGGCTGTGACTGCTGTGTTGCCCCCGGCCTCGCTGCGCAATGTGCTTCTAGTCATGGTTGTACGTGCTTTGTAAGTGGCGGCTGTGACTGCTGTGTTGCCCCCGGCCTCGCTGCGCAATGTGCTTCTAGTCATGGTTGTACGTGCTTTGTAAGGGGCGGCTGTGACTGCTGTGTTGCCCCCGGCCTCGCTGCGCAATGTGCTTCTAGTCATGGTTGTACGTGCTTTGTAAGGGGCGGCTGTGACTGCTGTGTTGCCCCCGGCCTCGCTGCGCAATGTGCTTCTAGTCATGGTTGTACGTGCTTTGTAAGGGGCGGCTGTGACTGCTGTGTTGCCCCCGGCCTCGCTGCGCAATGTGCTTCTAGTCATGGTTGTACGTGCTTTGTAAGGGGCGGCTGTGACTGCTGTGTTGCCCCCGGCCTCGCTGCGCAATGTGCTTCTAGTCATGGTTGTACGTGCTTTGTAAGTGGCGGCTGTGACTGCTGTGTTGCCCCCGGCCTCGCTGCGCAATGTGCTTCTAGTCATGGTTGTACGTGCTTTGTAAGTGGCGGCTGTGACTGCTGTGTTGCCCCCGGCCTCGCTGCGCAATGTGCTTCTAGTCATGGTTGTACGTGCTTTGTAAGGGGCGGCTGTGACTGCTGTGTTGCCCCCGGCCTCGCTGCGCAATGTGCTTCTAGTCATGGTTGTACGTGATTTGTAAGGGGCGTCTGTGACTGCTGTGTTGCCCCCGGCCTCGCTGCGCAATGTGCTTCTAGTCATGGTTGTACGTGCTTTGTAAGGGGCGGCTGTGACTGCTGTGTTGCCCCCGGCCTCGCTGCGCAATGTGCTTCTAGTCATGGTTGTACGTGCTTTGTAAGTGGCGGCTGTGACTGCTGTGTTGCCCCCGGCCTCGCTGCGCAATGTGCTTCTAGTCATGGTTGTACGTGCTTTGTAAGGGGCGGCTGTGACTGCTGTGTTGCCCCCGGCCTCGCTGCGCAATGTGCTTCTAGTCATGGTTGTACGTGCTTTGTAAGGGGCGGCTGTGACTGCTGTGTTGCCCCCGGCCTCGCTGCGCAATGTGCTTCTAGTCATGGTTGTACGTGCTTTGTAAGGGGCGGCTGTGACTGCTGTGTTGCCCCCGGCCTCGCTGCGCAATGTGCTTTTAGTCATGGCTGTACGTGCTTCCCTTGAATAATACATTTTCTGCGCATCTCATGTGATATGATATACACCTACAAATTCAGCCAATATACTCTGTCTCTCCCCTGCCTCCCTTTGATGAGTCGGTTTTTGAGTCGACTCAAAAACCGACTCAAAATCCGACTCATCACTCAATTTTAGCCTATATGCTCTGTCTCTCCCCTGCCTCCCTTTTCCTCCCTACAGTGCGCCTTCACACCGTCCTCACTCCTTCTGCTGGTGCAATGTATCTCTCCTTCCCTCCTCACCTTTTCATCCTCCACGCTTTCTATACAATGACCTGACACTATTCTTGCTCTTTCTCTTCCTCCCCCCCTCCCCCCCCCCCCTCCCTCCTTCCTCCCTACAGCACGCCTTCCCCCTCTCCGCACATCATCTGCTGCACCACGCACTGTCGCCCCTCTCTGCTTTCCTCATCACCTCTCGCCTAGATGCCGATGCGGTGCCTCCATCCCTTCCCACTGCTGCCGCCACTGCTATTGCTGACACTGCCACTGCCACCGCCGCCGCCACCGCCACTGCCGCCACTGGTGGTTGGGACCATGCTGCTGCTGCTGTTAGCACAGCTGACACTGCTCCCTATGGCAATGGCAACAGCAGTGGAGTTAACAGCAGCACCAGCAGCAGCAGCAGCAGCAGTGGCGGAGGGTTCTTTGAGGAGTTTTACGATGCTCTTCCTGATCCCGCCTCTGCAGCTGCTGCAATACTGCGAGGCGTGGAAGAGCACAACAAAAAGGTCAGTCGAATGGAGCAAGATGTCCTTTTGAGTTCTACAATGCGCTTCCTCATCCCGCCTCTGCAGCGGCAGCGATACTCCGAGGCATGGAAGAACACAGCAAACAGGTCAGCTAGTTGGCTGGTTTGCAGCAAGCAAAGTCACAGCTTCTGCATCAAAAGTCACAGCTTCTGCATAAAAAAACACAGCTTCTGCATCACAAGTCACAGCTTCTGCATCACAAGTCACAGCTTCTGCATCACAAGTCACAGCTTCTGCATCAAAAGTCACAACTTCTGCATCAAAAGTCACAACTTCTGCATCAAAAGTCACAGCTTCTGCATCAGAAGTCACAACTTCTGCATCAACGGCTGCCGCAATCCTCAAAGGCGTGGAAGAGCACAGCAAACAGGCCACAGGGCAGCTTTTTAAACGAAGTGTGTTTTGAAGCCATGTGATAGCAGTAGTGCTTTGAGACGTCTCAAAGAGCACAGCAAACAGGTCAGAGGGCAGCTATTTGAATGAAGTGTCTTTTGAAGCCAAATGGAGCAAGGTGCGCGCAATTCCAGTCAGCCATTGATCGACTCAACTGCTGTGTTCGCCCTTGCTTGGCACGAACACTCAACTTTTGAGGCGCCTCAGAAGTCGATTCCAGTCAGCCATTGGTCGACTCGACTGCTGTGTTCGCCCTTGCTTGGCACGAACACTCAACTTTTGAGGCGCCTCAGAAGTCGATTCCAGTCAGCCATTGGTGGACTCAACCGCTGTGTTCGCCCTTGCTTGGCACGAACACTCAACTTTTGAGGCACCTCAGGCCATTGGTCGACTCGACTGCTGTGTTCGCCCTTGCTTGGCACAAACACTCAAGCCTCCCCTCAAAAGCACCTCCAAACATACCGTACCTGCCTTCTCATCGGAAAACTTCGGATCCCTGCCACTTCTACCTGCCACTTCTACCTGCCACTTCTACCTGCCACTCACCCTGCAACCCCCATCCCTCCGCCCCTCTCCCCTCAACCCTCCTTGCAGTCGCTGAAAGAGGTGGTGGAGCTGGTCTGTGCGTTTGAGTCAAGACCCGAGTAGGAAAAACCTGCAGGTGTATAATGGGAGTCTTGTTAATTACAGAAATTATACCCATGCAATGGAACCTGTATCAGTCTCCAAAATCAATGACCTGGAACTGTTATTTCATAACACTATCTTTCCACTTGTTGGAAACAATAAGTCCTAAGTGCGCTTCTGTCGTATCAAAATCCAAGGCACCAAGCGAAGCAGTCCCAATCGAAGCATCGAGTCAACCTCGGAGGTTAGGGTAACCGCCTGGAGCTTACGAGAAAGTCAAAGGTCGCTGACCTTTGACTCGACAATTACAGCGCGACAGTTAAGGACACACAACTGACTCGTTACAGAGCAGTTGCCCGAGTCGCACTATATCGAACCGCAACAGCAATACAGTTATCTATCTATCTATTCGTATTCCCTGTACTCTTATATAAATCCTTGTACTTGCTTGTTTAATTCAATCTACTTTGCTCTCACACACCAGTGCAAGGTCGGTTCACAATCCTCATTAAAACGCTTCCGCTATTACAAGTTTCTACCCAAGAGTTCTCCTCTGCAAAGATCCTAAGGGCTATTTTCAGCCCAACATGGTATGAGAGCTGACAGGGGAAAACTCTAACTTTTTTATCATTACAAGACATGGCAACAAACAAGGAAAGGAGCTCCCCTAATGGCTCCTCGGGCACTACTCCTACTCCACCGCCAGCCTCTGGCCTGCAGACAGAGGAAGGCACGGCAGCAAGACCAAGGGGAACGTCAACCGAGACCCCCACGAACCATCCTCCTGACTTCGACCAGAGCATGATGGAGAAATTTTTCTCCTTCATGTCCTTCTACGAGCAACACCAGCAGTCGGGACCTGCACAGACACACAACAGCAACAACGGAGCGACACCCATGAGCCTTGACGGGTCGTCATACGCGCGAGGGAATCAACAGCAGCAACCCACCTTCGCCCCGTACGAACGCGGGTCGATCAGCTTCCTGCCTCAACCTCCACCTGCGCAAGACAAACCAATGGATGCCTTACAAGTACAGTCGCAGTTCGCGCATGTTCTGAAACTACAGACGTCAAGACCTTTCGACGGAAAGGACTTCTTTACCTGGTCCTTTGAATTCGAGTTGATGATGGAGGGCGCGCAGATACTCGGCTTCTTCGACGGATCCCTGCAGTATCCAGCAAACGGGACACAGTATGAAAAGCAGCAGTATACGTATCAATCCATGATGGCGTATACTATTCTACTGAGAAACATCACACCAACCCAGCAGCAGAACATTCGCTCTTACCGGAACTTCGGCAACTCGGCGGAACTCGCGTACGGCCATCTGAAGAACCTGTACCAGGCAACAGACAGTGTAAACCAGAGCAGGTTAATGGCGCAGCTGACAACAGTTGAAATGAAACCAGGAGAAAAAGGGTTGGCGTATATCAGCCGATGTCGCGAATTGCGCGACAAGCTTCTTCGATGTGGAGGGTCAATCTCTGAAGACGCCTTCGTAACAGTCGTCATCGGCGGCCTCGGTCCTCAGTGGCGCGCCACCAAAGCAATTCTTCGAGCACACGGGAGGATCTCCGAAGCGGCACTTTGCGCAGAAATTCACGCCGAGCAGCAGGATATGGACCTGCAAGAAGAAAGACACAAGAAAAGGACATTAGCACCGGAGTTTGCTTTCCATACTCAGCGACGACACAACTACTACAACAATCGACAGCAGCAGCCGAAGCTAGTACCTCCATTTTGTCACATCTGCAAGACATCAGGACACCCACGCACGCACTGCCCGTCTCGACAGACAACACCACAGCGACAACTGCGGCCTTCAAGCACCCAAGTTGCTTCGACACAAGCAAGCTCGACAACCACGATTCAAGCTTCAACGACCTCAACTGGACAACCTGCACAAGGAGCAAGACATATAGTCAACTGCATGGTCAAGATAACCGACTCTTGCATAACAGAGTCACCACCCCATTACTCACCGGAAGAGGAGCTCGACAACAGGACGCCTCGTCGCGAATCACTCCATCCAAATCCGACTTACGCTGCTATCGCTCAAAGCGAACCGTCCGGCCAAGACACCTGGTTCTTGGACAGTTGCTGCGGGCAACACATGTGCTCGTCCGGGCGTTTCGTACAACGCGAACATCGACTCCAACGGGAAGTGATCATCACGGTTGCCAACAACCAAAACCTGCGCACACGAAGACAAGGAGTGGTACAACTTCAGTCAAGAGAAACAAATGTCATACTGCACATGTCTAAGGTACTCATCGCTGAAGGACTCGGCTACAACTTACTGAGCGTTAGCCAGTTGATGGCGAAAGGAATTCATCTGGAAGCCGACAGCACGACCCAGGAGTTCAAGCTTTACCACGGGAGAGGCGGTCTCTACATCGGGAAAGCAGTGCTGAAGAACAACGTCTTCGTCCTCGACTTCGCTCCAGACCTCGGCACTGCAGACAGCGACGCCATTGTGAACTTTGCTGATTGGACACACCCTCCGGATCTCGACCCCGACTTCAGCCCGGGAGGTTTCTGGTACTCCCACACTATCCCTGAAGCAGAACGAACAAGAGCGTTAGCAACGATTCAACAAGAAGCAGCAGGGACAACATCGGCAGCAGCGACAACATCGGCAGCAGCAACAACATCGGCAGCAACGATTCAACAAGAAGCAGCAGCAACAACATCGGCAGCAGCAACAACATCAGCAGCAGCAGGAACAACGACACCAGTCACAGTCGACGAAGCACCACCAACACCCGCGCAACAGCTGAATCCGACTCAACGTGAAGTCCACCGAAGCGCCAACCTCGTCGCCAGCTTCTACTCCAACTCCGACGCATATCAGCGCTCACCCGGACACCGCGCCTCTGAAGAGATCTGGCACGCACGCACAGGACATCCAAGCAACACGGTTTTGAATAACACGATAAGAGCAGGAGTCCTTGACAAAGACTCTCTACTTCTACCCGATGGCAGAGAACTCCAGAAGGCACGAGGGACTTGCCTTATATGTCCCGAAGCTGACTTACCTCATCGACCGTTTGCTTCACATCACAACCCGAGCGCTCCAGCGTACGCACCACTCGAAAAAGTCTACAGCGACATCCTCTACAATCGCGAACCAGGACAAGTCAACTACAACTACACCATCACCTTCATCGACGCCGCCACTCGATACGTCTGGCATCGCAACCTACCCAGCCGCGACATGGCGCTCGCAGCATTCGCCGCCTGGCTACCGATAGCAGAGAGAGAGTCTGGAACACAACTGAAAAATTTCCAGTCAGACGGAGGTGGCGAGTACACCTGTCAGCGCTTCAAGCAGTTCTTGGCGGAAAGGGGGATCAAGCAACTCCTCTCCCTTCCCTACGCACATCAGCAGCAAGGTGTTGCAGAACGACTGAACAGGACCCTGCAGAACAGCATGCGCAAACTGCTACGTGGCATGCGGCTACCCAACCACCAGTGGCCAGCAGCAATGGACCACGCTGTCATGCTGCACAACTTGTTGTCGTCGTCGTCACTCCCAAACAACGCATCACCGCATCTGCTGTGGACAGGGAAGCAGGGCAGCACGAAAATGTTACGAGTTTTCGGGTGCATGGTACAGTACAGACCCCCAGAAGCACGAGCGGGAAGATTTTCGCAACGGGCACAGTGGGGACTACACCTCGGCATCGAGAAAAATTACAACGCATGGAGAATCTTCGACGTCCACACAAAGGAAACAGTAGCAGCACGTGACGTGATCTTCTACGAAATACTCACCCTTCAGACGTACCTCGCCAACTTGCACGAGAATCGGGACCTCACCAGTGGTTTTCGTGGTGACCGAGCCTTCGCGTCAGCAGCGGACGAAGCAGACTGGGATGAACAGAACGTCGACAACGCATCGGAAGAAGCCGGACCTCTCCCATACTGCTCCGTCGACGTGCCCATGGATGAGGATAATCCTCGCGACAGTAACAACGCCGAAATCTTCTACCGTTTCGCCGACGATGGTTACGTAACACCTCTGACAGTCAACACCAATGAAGCAGAAAGGGTAGGGCCAAATTTCATGCCCGACCCAGAAACGGGAGACGAAGCAGCTTATCCCGAGGATCCAGAACTCCCTCGATACTCACAGACTGGGCTGCAAATCCTTGGTCTCGTCACCGCGGTCCACGGCGCCGGCATCCCTAAGGAGCCTGCGACGGTTCAGCAGGCTCTGGGGGGGGAACACAGGGAGAAATGGCGTGAAGCTATGGACAAAGAGGTGAAGGCACTGGAGGAGCGCAACACCTGGAAAATTGTTCCCATCGGCGTAACTCAAAATAAAAACATTCTTACCGGGAAATGGGTCTTCCGTGTGAAGACGAAAGCTGATGGCACCATCGACAAATTCAAAGCCCGCTGGGTCGTACGTGGCTTCGACCAGGAGCACGGAAGAGATTACACCGAAACCTTCGCTCCGGTCAGTCGCCACACCTCACTCCGAATTCTCATCGCCGTCGCCGCCATGAAGAAAAAGAAATTGCGACAAATCGACGTTGCGAACGCATTTCTCTACGCACCTGTGGATGCAGAAATCTTCGTTGAACTCCCGCACGGCTCCCACGGCGAACCCAACCGAGTGTGTCAACTACTCAAATCACTCTATGGGATCAAGCAGGCACCGCGACTGTGGCAGCAGTACCTACACGCCCGCCTCATCCGCATCGGCTTCAAACAACTCCCGCATGACCAGGGCATGTATCGCCTCACAAAAGGAGGCGATTACGTCCTACTAATCGTCTATGTGGACGATCTCCTCTACATTGGGTCAACCGACGACATCGCCACGTGGTTCGAAGGGGAGCTCCAGAAAGACCTCACGCTCACGGTCTCTTCTACGGTTACGCAATACCTCGGGCTCAACATCCGTGAGGAAGAAAACGCAATCTACCTAAGCGCCGAGAAGTACGCCGACACTATCGCGAAACGCTTTCGCCTCACACCAAGCGCCATCTCCACGCCTTACCGCTACGCGTCAGGAACCGAAAAGGGGCAATCTACTCTACTTAAACCCACCGGCATACGCGACTATCAGAAGAAGCTTGGATGCCTTCTTTTCGCAGCAGTCACATGCCGTCCTGACCTATCCTACTCCGCGAGTCAGCTCGCTACCTATCTCAAGAGACCTGAAGCAGAGCATCTGGCGGAACTCGATCGTGCTCTCCACTACTTCGTCAGCACCGCGACGATCGGACTAACTTATCACAAAAACGTGACTACACCGACCAAGCTAATCGGCTACGTCGACGCCGATCACGCCGGCGACACCGACAACAGGCGCTCACGCACCGGCTATGTCTACCGCCTTGAGCCTATCGGTCCTATCTCCTGGCAGTCGAGCAAGCAGGAGTTAATCGCACTTTCTTCAGCAGAAGCAGAATATATTGCACTCTGCTCAGCCACCAAGGAGGGACTTTACCTTCGTGAACTACTGGAAGAAGCGAAGCTAGCCGAGTTACCCAGCTTCACCGTGTTCTGCGACAACCAGTCGGCAATTCGCATCGCCAACAAAAACGGCTTCGCAAACAGGACGAAACACATCGCCCTGCGCTATTTCTTCGTGAAGGACGAGATAGAAAAAGGGAAACTCGATCTGTCATACTGTCCAACATCCGAGATGGCAGCCGATTACTTGACCAAGAAACTCGGAAAGCAGAAGTTCGAATACTGCATGATGCTGACTGGACAAGGCCACGTCACCAGTAGCGACACTCCAGAAGCGAAGGGGAGTGTTGGAAACAATAAGTCCTAAGTGCGCTTCTGTCGTATCAAAATCCAAGGCACCAAGCGAAGCAGTCCCAATCGAAGCATCGAGTCAACCTCGGAGGTTAGGGTAACCGCCTGGAGGTTACGAGAAAGTCAAAGGTCGCTGACCTTTGACTCGACAATTACAGCGCGACAGTTAAGGACACACAACTGACTCGTTACAGAGCAGTTGCCCGAGTCGCACTATATCGAACCGCAACAGCAATACAGTTATCTATCTATCTATTCGTATTCCCTGTACTCTTATATAAATCCTTGTACTTGCTTGTTTAATTCAATCTACTTTGCTCTCACACACCAGTGCAAGGTCGGTTCACAATCCTCATTAAAACGCTTCCGCTATTACAAGTTTCTACCCAAGAGTTCTCCTCTGCAAAGATCCTAAGGGCTATTTTCAGCCCAACACCACTCTCATCTGAATACGGTAAAATGTTGTGAGGGCTTTGTTTCTACACTGTTGGTTCATGCTTAGGGCGCGTTCCTACGCTCTTATCAGGCAAACCTTTTGTCAGTCTTGCTTGGGGAAAGTAGCGAGGGTTTTCGGGTTTAGGGAATTTTCAGTGTGTTTTGACACGAGCTTGATAAGAGGTTGGCCTGATAAGGGGCCGTAGGAACACACCCTTCGGGATTCATAAGGACAATACATGTTGTGATTGTGATGTGAGCGGGGAAAATAACACACCATCAAGCCAACCAACCGACCAACCACCAGCATTGTTAGTTGGCAACTCCTGCAAGTTGTGCGAGCTACCATCTTCTAGTCTGGATTTTATTAGATGAAAAAAGGTGAGTGTCCCACAAGCAGTCGTCACCAAAACCTCCTTCCTATGTTTTCTGAGTCAACTCAAACCGCTTCCCTTACAAAATCTATTTCTCTGCAGCCTTAGCCTTGTTGTAGGCCTCCAGCTCAGCAGCATAGCGCACCTTGTCCTTCTGAGACAGTTGCTCGTACTTTACCTTGTCACCAGCTGCACGGGGGAATGGGACGGAGGGGTACACAAGGGGGTGAGTGCGATACAGTGGGGGAAGGGCGAGGAGGAAAACACTTAGTCCTGTCCTTCTGAGACAGTTGCTCGTACTTCACCTTGTCACCAGCTGCACGGGGGAAAATGACGGAGAGAGGACAGAAGGGTGACGGGAAATGATGAGGTCCTGTCCTTCTGAGAAGCTGGCTCTTCACCTTCACTTTAACTTGTTTTGTGACGTCTCGAAGCTTGCTATCAGCTCACCTTGTCACCAGGTGTGAAGAAGAGAGGAATGGACGGGGGAAAGAAGGGGTTGACGTGGGGGGAGAGGGACGGTGAGAACTTTGCATGTCTTTCTGAGAAAGCTTGCAGGAAACGGAGGGAAATGATGGGCGAGAAAAGTGGGTAGAGGGTGGTGGGCTTGCGGTGAGGGAGGGGAGGCGGGGAGAAAGAGGGAGCGGGGAGGTGGACGGGGGGTGGTGGGAGGAGAGGAAGGTGGGAGAAATGATGGGGAGTGGGACGCGTACGGCAGCAATAGTGAGGTCAGAGGAAGGGGGAGGGGATGGACATACGGCTGGTGGTAAGGGAAACGAGGAAATAGAAAGGTGATGTTGAATTTCTGAAGGCACTGGGACATTCTTGGTTCGGGAAATGGACCTAGCTGTAAGATTCAGACACTTTTTGCCAATAACCTGACTGAAAAATTTATGCATTTTCGCCAATGTCCTACCTGCTAGGTTTCGCCACCGTTCGCCAATGACCCTGCCCACATCGGCGAAAGCTATGTCGGGCTTCTCGCGAATCACTTTCTGTCGCACAAACGAAAAGGGAAATTCGCGGAAATGCACTGGAAGGAGAACTCGGAGAGAGGAATGCCGGAAATATATAGATGCACGAAATTCATGGGGAGAAAAACAGATGAATTGCTGATTCAGGAGATCAACGGATAGCCATAGAAGAGATGGACAAGGAGTCAAATCTGTGGGATAAAAGATAAAAAGACCAGCAAACAACGCCATAGAAAAGGTGGACGAACCGAAACAATCACAACCATGGTGACAAAAACTAGCTAGATGACAACGACAGCGGTGTAATCGAATCCGAAAGCACGAGACGGCGCCACGCACAGCTATATTGGTGTTACTTTTGAGAAATCTCAAAAGCAACACCAATCTAGATGAAAACAACAGCGATGCAGTTGAACCAGAACGCACGAGAGAGCACACGCACAGGTCGCTTTTCAGTCGTGACGCCCATTTAAGGGGACATGGGTCGCTAAGAACAGTCGGGTGTGTTGCGAGTCAATTTAAAATACACAAGACCACACGCACAGGTCGCTCATGAGTCGCAAAGACTATATACGCCGACATAGGTCGCTTAGGACTGTCATCCTTGGGTTTCCGCGTCGCCTTCGGCTTCTCGCCTCCCGCCTTTCCAGCTGACGCCGCTTTCTCGCCTCCGGCCTTTGCGGCGAAGCATCGGAGCGCGGTTCCGGCGATTTCGGAGGCAGATCCGGGCGATGCGCGGGAGAAAGCGAGACGGAAAATGGTTTGGGGAGTCGCCATAGCGTGAAGCATGACAGGTGTGAGTATAGCGAGGGCACACAAGCGTCGTATGCGGAAAGCCGCGGATGATGCGAGGCGGTAGATTTAGAGATAGGAGATGAGATAGTAGAGTGGCAAGTCGACGACGGGAATTTGTCGGAAGCGGCTGACGACGGTTAGAGACCGTTGATGCCAACAAGAAGCGATGTGCAACCGTCGATGCGGAGTGGGTTGGATGCGATTTGGGATAAATGGCGGGAGGGGAGGAGGTGGGGTGGGACCAGGGGAACTGAACTGACGGAGGCAAGTGGCTGGAAACGAGGTGGTTTTTAGGGGGGGTCCAGCTCGTACATTTACTGCTCGTAAACCCCCTCAGTTACCACATTTTTTGTGGTAACCCTTTATCGAACGTGTCCAGCGGACACAATCAGCTTCTGTTCGCAAGACGGCACGCCCCATGCACGTACCTAGAGTCGTCTGACTCACGTTACTGGAATCAGCAGGGACGCGAACAAGGGTACAGCACCGCGTCCTGGCCACTACAGCTCGTTTCCCTTGTATAGCTTGCACGATTTCGTCAGTGGTTCGCTCTACTCGCCAGCGCCCCCTGCGCCTGCACAAAAATTTTCAAGCTATGATTGACGAGGGAAACTGTTACCTCGTTTTCAACGTTGTCAGAGCACTGTTGATTCGTGTGGCGGGGGATGTGTCCGCGCTTCTGAAATTACAGGATGGTTGGACTCCACTCACAATGTATTCGTTTCTAGGTACGGTAGTCATTTTTGAACCTCGATACGTGTGCTGGCACGAAAAATCCCGAAATGAACGAACTGGACACGCCCTTAGTATGGTAGGGAGAGTCTACATTCCCGAGGTTCTCTCGACATTGCCAAGGGCCTCAAGGGTGAGGATTTGCGTTGGGAATGCAATTCGCTATATGCAATGAAATGGCAATTCCAAACAAAGCTTACCTGTATGTCTGACTTGTCTCACAAGCCCAAACTAAACTAACATGGAAGTGGGCTATACCGTAGCCTAGCCGCATGCTGGATCACAAGTTTAATTACCATAAACATACCTCCGGGCACCCTAGAATAAAGATACCGCAAGGCTTCTTAAATAGGCCTACATGACCAAACACCTCACTGGGTCCGATCCTATGTCCAAGATTACTCATCAGTGTCAAACACAGTCCACCCCCTCTATAGGTAGTCATCAGGATCACCTTTAAGCACATCGGATGCAAGGCGAGGCTCTCTTCCTAATGCGTAAAGAGGCTCCTCTGATGACGTAGCCCCCATTTCAAGAAACTTGTCACGCTCCGATTCATCAAGAATCTGATCGCCGCCTTTAGTGATGTACACTACAGATGTGATGAGCAGTACAAGCACACCCATTACTGCCACGCCTGCTATCACCCAGACGACCACCCCCAAGCCTTGAGGTGCAGGTGCCGTGTGAACTGGAAGGGAGGGAAGTGGGCACAGGGGAAGAGGGAGGAAGGAGGGAGGAAGGAGAGAGGACGGAGAGAGGCAGGAGGTGAGAATATGTTGGAAAGCATGTGGGACTGAGGTTCACATTTCATCCCAGAAACTCAAGGATAGCACGTACTCTGACTCGTTTTAGGCCTTGCAATCCAATAGGTACTCTATCGGCACTTACAATCACGCCCGTATTGCCAACAGAAACAACCCCCCCCCCCCTCCCCCCCTCTTCCCCCCCCTTGGACAGGAAAGAACCAGGAACTTTAACCCAGCTCACCATCTCCCGTGCTCATCCCATGTCCCGGACACACGCAGGGCATGAAAGCCCCAGATCCACTTTTCCCTTGGGACTCGTTACTCAGCTCAACACAGCTCAACCAAGTCAACCCAGCTCAACCAAGTCAACCCAGCTCAACCCAAGTAAACCCAGCTCAACCCAAGCAAAACCCAGCTCAACCCAAGCAAACCCAGCTCAATCCAAGCAAACCCAGCTCAACCCAAGCAAACCCAGCTCAACCACTAAACTCACCGTCTCCCGTGCTCATCTCCAGGGGTCTCAAACACGCAGGGCACGAGAGCACAAACGAGAGTGTCCTGTTTAGGTCCCGCCAGTCAGCTCAACCCAGCTAAACCCAGCTCGACCCAACTCAACCTCTCATCTCACCATCGCCTGTGCTCATCTCCAGGTCTCGCACGCAAGCAGGGCACGAGAGCACAAACTCCAAAGTGCCTTTTGGGTCCGCCAGCAGCAGCTCCCCAAAGCCCGTAGAACCACTCAGCCCAACACACACGGAATCAACTCACCGTCTCCTGTGCTCATCTCCAGGTCTCGCACGCAAGCAGGACATGAGAGCACAAACTCCACAGTGCCCTTTGGGTCGGCCAGCAGCAGCTCCCCAAAGCCCGCGGCACCGGGGGCGGGCGAGTGGCCCTTGGGGGCGGAGAAGTTGGATTCGCAGAGCGGGAAGAGCAGGTAGGGGCTGTCTGCTATCCACCCCTTCTCGTACATGCCGCATGACTTGCACCCGCCACTGTCCATTTGGAATAGCGGCTGGGATGTGGGAGGGAGAGGGAAAAGGAAGGGGAAATAGAGCAGGTATGGGCAGAGGCAGAGGGGAAGACCAGGTAAGGAGGAGAAGAGCAGGCAGGGGCTGTCTACGATCCACCCCTTCTCATATATGCCACACGACTTGCACCCGCCACTGTCCATTTGAAATAGCGGCTGGGATGTGGGAGGGAGACGGCAAAAGAAGGGTAAATAGAGCAGGTAAGGGCAGAGGCAGAGGGGAAGAGCAGGTAAGGGGGAGAAGGGAGCTGTCTGCGATCCACTCTTCTCGTATATGCCGCATGACTTGCACCCGCCACTGTTCATAAGAAAGAGCAGCTGGGACGGGAAGGGGGGTAGCAAAGGGAGGGTAAAAAGAGTGATTTGTGTCGACTCAGGACATAAGTCCTCTGTCCAACCAGCTTCTATGATAATACATACTGCCATACAACCTTCTTTGAGATATTTACGTGAAAGGAGGGTGTTTTTGAGACGTCTCAAAAAGCTCCCATGAGAATACATACTGCCATACAACCCTCTTGAGATGTCTCAAAATTTGTCCCCCGACCAACCACCTCGCATGATCATACATACTGTCACACCTGCCAATGATCCTTCCCCTCCACCTCACTTGCCGATCCTCCTTCCCCTCAGCCTCAACTGCCAGTCCTCCTTCCCCGTGAGGTTGACTTGCACGTTGAGCGGCGGTGAGAAGAGCAGGTCGGAGCGGTTGCCATCAGCCCTCACCAACCACCCACCACCTCCCATCACCACACAATACCACTGCTACAGCACTCCCCTCAGCCTCACCTGCCAGTCCTCCTTCCCCGTGAGGTTGACTTGAATGTTGAGCGGCGGCGAGAAGGGCAGGTCGGAGCGGTTGCCATCAGCCCTCACCAACCACCCACCACCTCCCATCACCACACAATACCACTGCTACAGCACTCCCCTCAGCCTCACCTGCCAGTCCTCCTTCCCCGTGAGGTTGACTTGAATGTTGAGCGGTGGCGAGAAGGGCAGGTCGGAGCAGTCGCCATCAGCCCTCACCAACAACCCACCACCTCCCATCACCACACAATACCACTGCTACAGCACTCTCCTCAGCCTCACCTGCCAGTCCTCCTTCCCCGTGAGGTTGACTTGGATGTTGAGCGGCGGTGAGAAGGGCAGGTCGGAGCGGTTGCCATCAGCACAGAGGAGGAAGACCTGCGGGAGGAACACCCAGTTGATGTGCTTGTGCAGCGTGATGCTCGTTAGAGTCACATTCGCAACAGCTGCCAACCGGGGAGGCGGGGGATGTGGAAAACAGGAAAGAGGAGTGAGGAGAAAGAAATTGAGAGGCTGACTGAACAAGTCGGAGTGATTGCTGTCAGTACAGAGGAGGAAGACCTGGGGGAGAAACACCCAGTTGATGTGCTTGTGCAGCGTGATGCTCGTTAGAGTCACATTCGCCACAGCTGGCAACAGTGGGCGGTGGGTGGGGATAGACGGAAAGCAGGGGAGAGAAGTGCGGAGAAGGAAATTGTTGAGAGGCTGGAGGCTGAACAGGTCAGAGCAGAGCGGCACGGCAGCCATCGGCGACGTCATAAAAGTTGAGTTTTGGGCGTCTCAACTCAACACTCAACTTCCATCCCGTGGCAATTGTTGAGAGGCTGGAGGCTGAAGAGGTCAGAGCAGAGCGGTGGCCATCGGTGCAGAGGAGAAAGACTTGAGGGAGAAACACCCAATTGATGTGCTTCTGCAGCGTGAGGCTCGTTAGAGTCACATTCGCCACAGCAGAAATGGGAAAGGGAGGGTGGAGTGGGTGGTTTGGAAGAGGGGAGAGAAGAGAGAGATGCGGGGTGTGGGAGGTGAAGATGGAGGGAGGAAGAGGGGGGAGAGAAGGAGGGGTGGTGGGGAGGGGGGGAGACGGAGAGGGGGAGGGGTGACAGGAGAGAGACACGCGTACGACCACGGACGGAGCACGTAGTTGAACCGCTTCGCGTGCGCGGGAAGATCGATGCTAGGGTTATAATCGCTACGGCCTCAGCCTGGGTTTTGAGACGCCTCAAAACGCGCGGCGATCGATGCTAGGGTTGTAATCGCTACAGCCTCAGCCTGGGAGGGGAAGGGGGGAAGGGGGGGGGGGGGGGGGGGGGGGGGGGTGGGAGCTGGGGAGGAGATTGAGGGTAGATGTTAACACCGCCATCTTGACACGCTTAGGAACGGGAAATTGGCCGCCATGTGGACCAATCGAAGAGCGACGGACACTCACCCGCCACGTGGACCACTTGCATGATTGTAACGAGGATCGCGAGCGCGGCTCCTCCTGTTCGCAGTAACCCACGCGATTCCGCCATGTTTTGCGCTGGGACTTGCACGATCGCTGAGAGCTTCGACGAGTTTAATAATTCAGGGTGGGTGTGTTTTGGCACTTCTTTCAGGACAAGGAGCTGAGGCGTTTCGAAGCACCCCAACGGCTCGCGTAAAGCGCGGAGATCCTGTCCTAATTCTCAGCCGTGGGGTGACAAAATAACGGGTAGGTTGTAACGAGTCCAACTCAATCAGCCTAAGAGGTGAGCCGTTGAGAAGCAGGCGAGCTCAAGAGGCACTCGTGACTAGCAATTAACAAATATGCACTCGCGAAGAATTATCGAGGCGCCGCGAAGAAGCCGTCCCGGAGGGACCTATGGACCGACAAACTCAGAATGCGTTAGGTCATTACGCTACGCTAGGGGGAACGGGCCGCAGATTGCGATGTCAGCACGTAATTCAGGGGAGCGACCTAGATCCGCATCGTACCGCAGGAAAGAATAAATAGCATACCACTCCAGAGGTATGTTATGTACTCGCAAATGTGGGGCCCATAGGCTAGATACTGAGCACTTTTTGGGAGTACGGTAGTATGGCTGCTGCGATGATGTGATTCTTTGTGATGGTCTGGTTCTGTGGTTTGGTTCTGAGGTCTGGTGGAGGTTTGGCTGTGTGCGAGGAGATTAGGCTTTCGCGAACCTCTGGCGCAACCTCGGAAAATGTTCGGGTATGGAGCTGCATTTCCCGAGGTTCTGGTAACAATTCCGAGTTTTGCTTTTCTTGTCGGTGAGGGGGTACGGTTCATTTGTGGTTCAGTCCGAACGGAGTAGACGGGCTCGTTGAGTTCACTGTACAGTGTAGCCTGACCAAGTTCGTTTTGTGACTACATCGAAGAGAGGTGGAGGTTGTAAGTGTGGACACCAGTTGCAGGCAGGTGCATCGCTGACGCGGCGTCACCGAATCAGGAAATCACAGATGCTTGTGCCAAACCAGTTCATCCAGTTCAGCCCCTTCTGAAAGCGTCCCATCGCTTCTTCCACACCACACCACACCCACATACATACCCCTCCTCAGCAGCAGCACCAGCAACTCCCCCCCACCCTGGAATTGATCGCTTCACGCATATCGTAGATTCCTAAAAAATCAACCACATTCACCAGCCTACTCCACAGTTGCTGCTGGTCTGTCAACCCTAATCTTCTGCTTTTGAGTCATGACCTCGCGGCACGGCCAACGAGCCGCGAAGCCTTCACCGTACAACCAAGCGAGTGAGGCTGAACTTGCATCTCGCGCCGCGCTTCCGCCAAGCGCCTCGGACCTCCATTCCCTTCCCCCGTCCGCCGTTCCCGCCTCCTCCGCGCACGTTAACGCGCGTCGAGCCGCCTCGGCGTCGGCCGTCACTACCCTCGGTGGTGCTTCCAATGGGCTACGCGCGAGGAGCCGCAATGGGAGCTGGAGCTTTCGACGCAACGGCGTCAAACGCGGCGGTAGTCAAGGCAGAAGTCCCAGCGGTATTCACGGCGACATTTACGGCGGCAGCGACGGCGGAATCAGCAGCGGCATCAGGAGCCTTAGCGGCCTGTCCGGGATATTCGGAAAACGGCGCGACACGCTCCCAGACAGCGGTCCTCTGAGGCCCTCGTTTCACGGTGGCATGGTGCGGCTCGTGTCGCATAACTTTCCGGATATTCCGCTCGAGGAAATGAAATCCGACGCGCTTTGGGGAAAGACCTGGTGGTGGTTCGGACGAGTATTGGATCCGCGTACAACGCGTATGAAGCGATGGATGAGATTCGTCGCCTTGGTTCACTCGGCATCGCTAGCCGTTGATCCTTGCTTCCTATACCTAATCTCTTATAGTCCGGACGTATCGTGTCTATTTTTGGAGACGATTTTCTCGATAGTCCTCATGGTGCTTCGGAGCGCGTGTGACTTGGTTTTCCTGGTGGATGCGTTTCTGTCGTTGCGCACGGCTTACGTGTCGAAAGAAGCTATAGCGAGGGGGCACGGCAGCGAAATGGTGACCAATGCGAGGAAGATCGCGCGGTCCAGGTGTTCCTTGGGCGGGGTGGTCTTCGATATTATCGCGACCTTGCCGATTCCGCAGGTGGGCGTGGGCATGATTGGTGGGTTGGTTGAGGCAAATTTGAATCTGCAGTATATCAATGTAAGTTGTAACGTCACTACAGTAGAGAAATTATTTTTCTCTACTGTACAGGGCTGAGGGAAGCTGGGTAACTTTGCAATGCTGACGTTTGTGCTTCACTTGAAAGAAGGTTTGCAATCCACCCCTCCGCTTTCCCCTCCCTTAATGTTTCCAGGTATTTGTGTGGGTGATTGCCCCCATGCTAATCCAAATGGACAAGGCTTCATACGAGTTTTCTACAGGCGGCGTCACTATAACCTTCAGCGCCATCATTCTACAGTACGTGCTGAAGCTGATTCTCGCCGCCCGGTTCACCGTGCGAGCGCAGCGGGTCAACGGCTACATCTTTGGCGCGGCGTGGTGGGGCTTTGCGCTGAACTTCATCGCATACATAATTGCTGCTCATGTGAGTCAAGTCAAGCAAGGTCGTTCTTAAGATTTGTCGTGCAGTGCAGTGGAGGTGTAGTGAGTAAGCAGTTGCATCTTTGGTGTCGCATTTCCATGGGGTGGGGGGGGGGGTGGGGCTGCGGTTTCACGTCGAATCTCGTGGCCTACATCTGTGTCAACCATACATGAGTTTGGAAATCCGTGAATTTGACTTTTGTGTCGACGCAAAAGTAATCTCGTGGCTTACATCTGTGTCAACCATGAGTACGGGAATGCGTGAATCTGAAAATCCGTGAGTCCGGGAATGTGTGAGCTTGTTAATGTTCACTTTCCCGTCTCCCCTTCTCCCCTTTACCCACCACCCTCCCCTCCCCCCCCATTCCCTCTGGCCGTCACCTCCCACCCCGCCAGGTCTTCGGCTCCCTCTGGTACCTGCTGGCGTCTGAGCGAGTGGCCACGTGCTTCCAGACGCTGTGCCAGCAGGTGAATAATAGGACATACAGGTGAGGGAGATTGCACGCAGGTGAGAGACTGAGAGGCTAGGATGGCGTACAGACAGGTGAGGGGCTGAGATGCCATGCAATGAAACCGCTCCCTCTGGTACCTGCTGGCGTCTGAGCGAGTGGCCACGTGCTTCCAGACGCTGTGCCAGCAGGTGAGTAAGAGGGGACAAGCAGTTGAGGGGACAAGCAGGTGAGTGAGTGAGAGGATATGCGGGAAGGGTGGACGAGGAAGGGCGGGAGGGGCGGACGGGTGTCGTCTATAGGCTTCCCAACGCCTTGCATTCACTCAACATTCCTGCATTACATTGGTTGCAGGTTGTTTTTTAGAATTCTTAAAAAGCATTGCATTTACAAACCGCTCCCTCTGGTACCTGCTGGCGTCTGAGCGAGTGGCCACGTGCTTCCAGACGCTGTGCCAGCAGGTGAGAGGCTGAGATGCTGTGATGCGATGTGATGTGATGTGATGTGATGTGATGTGATGTGATGTGATGTGATGTGATGTGATGTGATGCCATGCCATGCCATGGCATGTCATGCCATGCGACAATACGCGATTTTATACCATGCCATACCCATCCCATACCACGCCATGCCATTCCATGTCCTACCTCGCAATGCCACGCCATGCCATGCCATGCCCTGCCCTGCCTTTCCATGTCCACCTCGCAATGCCACGCCATGCCACGCCATGGCATGCCATGGACCAACCCAAACGCAGATTTTTGTCTGTCTGCAACTCCAACATCGTCACCTGCCCTGATCGCCCCTCTTACTTGAGCTTCTTTCTCCTTTCTCGCCTTCCCTCCTCCCTTTTCAGTCGACTCAATTGCCACCTCCCCCCTCCCCTTTCCAACTCTCTCCCCCTTCCCCAGGTCCCCACGTCTGTCTGCAACCCCAATTACGTGACGTGCCCCGAAGCATACGAGACAACGACTTCCCAAGTGAGCCCTGCATGGGCGGCGTGGGGCAGCAATGCTACCCTCGAGACGACGTGCTTCGAAGGCGATGGCACGTTCAACTTTGGCATCTACCACATGGCACTTCAACTCATGAAGGATGGGTCTGCTGTCGCCAAGATCTTCTACGGCCTCTTCTTCGGCATCATGACTCTCAGGTGATGCTGTGATTGCAATTCTGCTGCCATTCCTGGGGTGGGGGTTCAGCTCAGCAGCATGACAGCACCAACTTGGGCATCTACAGCATGGCGCTGCAACTCATGAAGGATGGGTCTGCTGTCGCCAAGATCTTCTACGGCCTCTTCTTCGGCATCATGACTCTCAGGTGCGAGTCCCTCGAGATGTGAGAGTCACACTCCATGAAGAGTGTGCCTGTGGGGAAGGGGGCATTCAGCGTTGCTGCGTTGGCAACTACCGCAAATCCATTCTTCATGAACATCTAACGGTGGTTGCGGTAGTTGCGGTAGTTGCCAGCAATGCCTCTTCTACGGCCTCTTCTTCGGAATAGTGACACTAAGGTGATGCTTGTAAGGTAAACGCTACCACTGGAACTTCATTGCTCGTCCATTCTCCCCCCACCTCCTCTTTCCCCCTCCCCCCCCAACCCTCCATCTCCTTCAGCAATGCCTCCTTCCCCAGCACAAGCTTAGTGCAAACCATCCCAGCACCCTCCCCCCTCCCTCCCTTCCTCCCTACCCCTCATCTTCTCCGCCTGCCCCTTCCTTTGCCTCCACACGTCCCTCCCAACTCCCCTGAACCGCTCTCAGCTCCTTTGGAAACGCCCTCGTCCCCAGCACCAACTTTGTGGAAACCACCTTCGCGGTCATCATGGTGCTGTCAGGTCTCATGCTCTTCACTCTGCTCATCGGGAACATTCAGGTATGTGTGTTGTGCTAATGATACTTCTTCTTAGTATCGGAAGCACCTTAGTCGGCAATAGTCTACTTGCTATCGCCTATCGTGTTCTCCACGATCTCCCGAATCCAATGATATGCGCAGCTCTGCTTGAAGTTGTCAATACACACTTCAGCAATTTTCAGAATCTGATTGGTATGATTTCCAGAATGAGTACAAGCAGTTTTATAGTCAGGCAAGACACAAAATGCGATTCGTAACTTCACTTGTTTCCCAAGTAACCGCGTGCGCCTCGTTTCACCCTGAGTCGCACACACAACCGAACCGAATTCGGTGAACACTCCGCAAGTCCGAATCCCGAACTTTCTCGAGCGCGCCTTGGTCTCGAAGCACATTTTTCCCCTCGTCAAACTCATTCTCGATGCTTCTCCTTCTCTCTCCCTCCTTCTAGCACATTTCTTCTCGATTTCTCTCCCGCTTCTCACGCCATAGCCTCTATTCCCCACCGTAGGCCGATTTCCACCGTTTCACACACGCGCTTCCATTTCGCCGTCATTCCGCCGTCGTAGATGCTTTTGCCTTAGGTTTCGTGGTTGGGCGAACCAACCCTAACAATCTCCCCTGTGGTTCGTCAACCACGAACACCACTCGCACTGCTCCCATGCTCCTTGTAGCCTTCACAGGGTCTAAGTCGGCTTCACGCTCCCCTGCAGCTCCTGCACCTTGAACCTCTGCTTACGTGTCTTGTAGTTGAGCGCCTTGACATCCAAACCTTGAGAGATTTTCTTATGCCTCTCGCTTCTCCTCGGCATCTTTACACCCAACACCTCTCGGGTCTCGTACCCTTCAACGCGTTCATCCTCCTTAAGCACTTGCCCCTTTGCAGTTGCATTCGCCTTTGATCCTTTCACCATGATGTCCCCTTTCACAGCTTCAACTCCCACACACTTCGCATTTACTGCTTCATCTTCAACCACGATCGCTGCTGCAAAAGTGTTGACATCGTCTCCATCTCCACCGTTTACTGCTGCTGCCTCCGTGATCACTATCTCCTCTTCCTGCTTCACTGCTGCCTCCACACTCGCTCCCGTATCATCCGTGTCCTCGCTCTTATCAACCTTAGTCAATAACTCCTCCAGTTGTCCCATCGCACCATACTCAGGATCCTCATAGATCTCATCCGTATCATTCGTCGCGACCAAGTTCATCTCATAGAACCCGTCACTGAAGTAACCATCAGCATACTTCTCCCACTCAGGACCAAACACAGTCACCTCACCACTGTCATAGAATATCTTGCACCCCAAGTCATCAAGCTGTGACTGACTGACCAGATTCACCTTTAAATCCTCAACCAGCAGCACATTCTCCTGTCTCATCTCTCCATACGGACTCTGCAGCACCACGTCACCCTCTCCTGTCACTGGTAACTTCCCACTGTTACCTTGTAGTATATAATCCTCACTCGACTCCCTCACATTCTCCATCCAATCTGACCTGAATGTCATGTGACGCGTGCATCCGCTGTCCATGAACCACGCCCTCTTCTCACGTCCATCTGTCTGAGCCTCCTTCGGTAAACGCACCACGTTCGCGAGATGCGCTCCTCCCAAAATCACATCATCTTCGTTCGCTTCTGCTACATTCGCCTTTGCCACCACATTCCGCTGCTGCGACGGACCCTTGTAGCTCATGCTATTCGGGTTGGAGTAGTACTCTGCGGCACGATGCCCGTAACGCCCACAATAATCACACTTGCCGCCAAAACCTCGTTTCTGCTGCCACTCCGCTCTTGCATTTTCTCCTTTATCATTCTCCACAGCTTAGCCCTTGTAGTTTCTGCTTCGAGGATTTTCGTAGCAGTTTATCGCTTTATGTCCCCTCTTTCCACACTGGTAGCATGCTCCAAACGCCTTCGTGGCATTCACCATACCCGGCCTCTCCTCGTCGAATTCCTTAGCTGCTGCTGCTGTTTTCTTCTTTCTCATCTCCTTAACCGTCTCAAGTGACTGTAGAATCTCCTGCAGCTTCATCAAACTCTCCGGCGGTTGGTACGTAAACATACCGATGTCGGATTCCCACTCCTTAGGAAGGCCTTGGATGATATAGTCAATCATCTCATGCTCCGTCTCCGCGGCTCCCATCACCCGCAAATCGTCGTTGTAGCTTTTCGCCCTGTTGATGTAGGTGATGACTTTCTCGCCTTTCTCCATGCTCAGCATAAGCAGTTGTTTCCTAATCGCCTTCTTGTTGACATCGTTGGTGCCCATGTATGTGGACTCCAGGTACTCCCACGCTTTCTGTGCAGAGTTCAGCTCCCCTGCAAACTGGTCCAAATCCACCGCGATTCCATCGGCAACTGAATGACAAAGTTGAAAGAAAGCTTGCTTACTTTGCTTTTTGAACGCCGTTGTTTTCTCCTTCGTATCCGTCGCGGAAGGCGCAACTCCCTCCATCGTCTCCTCGTCGGGACGGTAGTACGACAAGAGGTCCACCTCCTCTGCCCTTCGAATGAACTTCTTTCGCCACACGTTGTAGTTGCTTCCATTGAAGCGCTGAGCTTCACTGAGCCCGATCGTCGGTTTCGCCACCAATCGGCCACTCGCAAGGGCCTCGAGAAGAGCCTTCAACTGCGGGTCTCCAAGACTTACACTGGAACCCGAACTCGCCTCGTCTCCCATAGCGTAGGCGTGAACGACTCCTCTTCACTAATTTCACTTAGCGCACCAAGTGAATTCACGACGATCGACGAGCCCGTTCGTCAAGCTCTGATACCAGTTCTTAGTATCGTAAGCACCTTAGTCGGCAATAGTCTACTTGCTATCGCCTATCGTGTTCTCCACGATCTCCCGAATCCAACGATATGCGCAGCTCTGCTTGAAGTTGTCAATACACACTTCAGCAATTTTCAGAATCTGATTGGTATGATTTCCAGAATGAGTACAAGCAGTTTTATAGTCAGGCAAGACACAAAATGCGATTCGTAACTTCACTTGTTTCCCAAGTAACCGCGTGCGCCTCGTTTCACCCTGAGTCGCACACACAACCGAACCGAATTCGGTGAACACTCCGCAAGTCCGAATCCCGAACTTTCTCGAGCGCGCCTTGGTCTCGAAGCACATTTTTCCCCTCGTCAAACTCATTCTCGATGCTTCTCCTTCTCTCTCCCTCCTTCTAGCACATTTCTTCTCGATTTCTCTCCCGCTTCTCACGCCATAGCCTCTATTCCCCACCGTAGGCCGATTTCCACCGTTTCACACACGCGCTTCCATTTCGCCGTCATTCCGCCGTCGTAGATGCTTTTGCCTTAGGTTTCGTGGTTGGGCGAACCAACCCTAACACTTCTTATAACGAGGATGTGTGTAGAAGCAACAGTCAGTCATCATGGTGCTGTCAGGGCTCATGCTCTTCACCCTGCTCATCGGGAACATTCAGGTATGTGTGTGCTAGAAGCGAATTCTGACTGTCATGCCATCTGTCTATCACGTGTCATCATGGTGCTGTCAGGGCAGGGCTCATGCTCTTCACGCTGCTCATTGGGAACATTCAGGTATGTGCTAAAAGCGAATTGCCTTATGACGGGGATGAGTGTGGAAACCACCTTCGCTGTCATCATGGTGCTGTCTGTCAGGACTCATGCTCTTTACTACCCTGCTGCTTGGGAACATTCAGGTGCGTGCATATGCTAATAACGAATTGTCTTGTAGTGGATATATCTGTGCTGTGTGTCATCATGGTGCTGTCGGGACTTATGCTCTTCACTCTGCTCATCGGAAATACACAGGTGCGCAGCGCATGTGCTTTCTAGTTGTAGCCAGGAAGGAGGGACCTCACCTGGTGGATGAACCGCCACCAGTTGCCGTGCCTGCCCCGTCAATCTCTCCCCACCCATCTCCACCCGCCCCATTTCGACCCTTTCCCCTACCCATCCCCTTCCCACACCCAGGTTTTTCTTCACGGCATCACTTCCTTAATGGAGGAGATGCAGCTGCGAAGGCAAGACCTCACCTGGTGGATGAACCGTCACCAGTTGCCACCTGCCCTTCCCATCCCCTACCCATATCCAGGTTTTCCTTCACAGCATCACCTCACGGATGGAGGAGATGCAGCTGCGACGGCAAGACCTCACCTGGTGGATGAACCGTCACCAGTTGCCACCTGGCCTGCAGCGGCGCGTGCTGAGGCAGGAGCAGCAGAACTTCACGGCCACCAGGGGAATTGATGAGGAGGGGCTCATTCGCAGCATGCCCAAGAGTTTGCGGCGAGATATCAAACGCCATCTGTGCCTTGACCTGGTCAAGCAGGTAGGAGGTGCCTTGACCTGGTCAAGCAGGTAGGAGGTGCCTTGACCTGGTCAAGCAGGTAGGAGGTGCCTTGACCTGGTCAAGCAGGTAGGAGGTGCCTTGACCTGGTCAAGCAGGTAGGAGGTGCCTTGACCTGGTGAAGCAGGTGAGATATAAGAGGGTAGGGCAAGGATAAGGTTGGAGAATCCACAGCATGCCAAGAGCCTGCGACGAGATATCAAACGACACCTGTGCCTTGACCTGGTCAAGCAGGTGAGATATTAAACGACACCTGTGCCTTGACCTGGATGCAGCATGCGAACGAATCAAGCTGACAGGACTCTTGAATTGACTCAGAAGTTGCGCTGTTCTCTTCTCCTGTCTGTCCATCCCCCAGGTGCTGTTATTCCAAGTCGGGTGGAGTCTGCTCTGCTGCTCTGGATGCTTTTACGTGTGCGAGCGACTCATTCCTTGATGGCTCATGTGCCACTATGGCTCATGTGCCACTATGGCTCATGTGCCACTAATCCATCTCCCCATTTGTCGTGATTCTCCTACCTTTTCCTTGTCCCTCTTCACGGGTGCCGCTATTCCAAGTGGTGGACTCAGCAGCGCTGGATGCAGTGTGCGAGCGACTCAAACCAAGGTGACTCTTGAGCTGCTGTTCTCTCATCTAGGTGTCGTCCTCTCCTCTCCCATCTCCTCCTTTCACCCCCTCAGGTGCCGCTATTCCAAGTGGTGGACTCTGCAGCCCTGGATGCAGTGTGCGAGCGACTCAAACCGCTCATTCTCATTCATGGGACAGAGGTGAGCTGGTATGCTTGCACAGGTCCATGCTCGTACCTGCACACATGCACACATGCACGCATGCACACATGCACCCATGCACACTTGCACACATGCACCCATGCACGCTTGCACACATGCACCCATGCACGCTTGCACACATGCACCCATGCACGCTTGCACACATGCACCCATGCACGCATGCACACATGCACATATGCAGACATGCACACATGCACACAGGCACACATACACACATGCACACATGCACACATGCACACATACACACATACACACATGCGCACATGCACACATGCGCACATGCACACATGCACACATGCACACATGCGCACATGCACACATACACACATGCGCACATGCACACATGCGCACATGCACACATGCACACATGCGCACATGCACACATGCACACTTGCACACATGCACACATGCACACAGGCACATGCACACATGCACACATGCTAACATGCACACATGCGCACATTCGCACATGCACACACACACATGCACACAGGCACATGCACACAGGCACATGCACACATGCACATGCACATGCACATATATGTCCATCACGCTTCCATCCTGCATCCATTATACGTCTCCTTTCCCATCGGTCCATGCACACACCCACCATGAGTCACGACCATCACGTCTGGTGAGGCAGGGTGAGCTATCCTCCTTGTACATATGCTATCCATGCAAGTTGCATTTTTGAGTCGACTCAAATGAGCCGTGTTTTGAGTCGACTCCAAGTGAGGCAGGGTGAGCTATAATCCTTGTACGTAACCATGCATTATGCAGTTTCTTACTTATTGCATCCTCTCGTCCCGTTGTCCATTTCTCCATTCACTCATTCGTCCCTTTGTCCTCACCTTTCCACCTGTGTCCGTCCACCCATCCTGTCTATGCATGCATGCATGCATGGTAGATCGTGCGACAAGGCGAGCCTGTGTGCATGATGCTGTTTCTCATCCGCGGCACCATCCGCAGCACACATACCATGAGCCATGGGACCGCCAGGTGAGTGTATGTGCATGCATGTGCATGTAGGTACCATCCGCAGCACAGCACACACACCATGAGCCATGGGACCGCCAGGTGAGTGTATGTGCACCACACACAGTACAGCGTACACACCCACCATCCACAGCACACATACACCATGAGCCATGAGACTGTCAGGTTTCTGTTTGCATGTGGATGGAAGCTTGTGAAGCGAGGATACACACGCACACCATCCAAAGCACACGCACACACTCATGCACCGTTTGCAGCCGAGATGTATATGCGTGTTCTTGTTTGTATGAGCTTGCATGAAAGCCTGCCTCTTACCGCCCTCTCCCTTCCTCCTCTCCCTTCCTTTTCCATTCCCTCTGCTCCCTCCCTCACCCTTTTCACTCCCAATCTCCCCCTTTTCCCCTTTCCATCCTCCCTCCCCCGTCGTACCTCCCTCGCCCTCCCTTCCCCCCCCCCCCACTTCCCCCTCAGCTCGTGTCTCATCCGGGATGGAAGCTTCTGTGGGGACGAGCTGCTCTCGTGGGGCTTGGCCCACTCCCCAAACACCAGCCAGCTAGCCTCCGCTACTGCCTCGCTCTCCCTACTCCCCTCCCCATACTTCCCCCCCTTACCCCTCAGCTCGTGTCTCATCCGGGATGGCAGATTCTGAGGGGACGAGCTGCTCTCGTGGTGGCTGGGCCAGTCCCCAGACACCAACCAACCAGCTAGCCTCTGCTGCTGTCACACCAACCTCTGTGTGCTCTCCCTTTCATCCATCTGCCCCCATTCTCTTCAGCTCGTGTCTCATCCGGGATGGAAGCTTCTGTGGGGACGAGCTGCTCTCGTGGCGGCTGGGCCACTCCCCGGACACCAACCAGATTCTAAGGCGTGCCCCGCCATCCATCTGTCCCACCTCCCCTTGGAGCTCCTGCCTCATCCGGGATGGGTATTTCTGTGGCGAGGAGCTGCTCTCGTGGGCTCTAGGCCACTCTTCCATCCAGACACCCACCAGCTAGCCGCTGCCGCCGCTGTCACACCCACCTCTGTGTGCTCTCCTCGCCTCCCTTCTCCCATCCCTTGCAGCTCCTGCCTCATCCGGGATGGCTATTTTTATGGAGAGGAGCTGCTCTCATGGGGCCTAGGGCAATCCCCTGACACCAATCAGCTGCCCTCCGCTACAGCCACTCTCACCACAGTCACAGCTGTGGAGGGCTTTGTGCTGGAAGCAGAAGACCTTCTGTTTGTGACAACGCACTTCAAGGTAATCACAGGGAAGGTTTCACAGCAAGCAGCAAAAGACCTGCCTTCCTGCCTGCTTGCCTTCCTCCGCATTTCAACTGGAAGAGCCAGCGCATTCAGCGGTGGGTGCACTACTAGTCGCCTTAAGTTGACTGAACATTGCTTCACTCCTTCCCTGCCTCCCCCCTTCCTTGCCTGCTTGCCTGCCCCTCTGCCCCCTTCCCCTCATTTCAACTGGAAGATTCAGCGCATTCAGCGGTGGGTGCACTGCTACTCGCCACACTGGTGAGCTCCGGTGGTGCTTCAATCATTGTCTACCCCCCCCGTCTACTTCTCTCTATCCCTCCCTGCCCGCAGTTCAACTGGAAGAGTCAGCGCATTCAGCGGTGGGTGCACTACTAGTCGCCTTACAGTTGACTGGTCAATTCCTTCACTCCTTCCCTGCCTCCTTCCTTCCTTGCCTGCTTGCCTGCCCCTCTGCTCCCTTCCCGTCAGTTCAACTGGAAGAGCCAGCGCATTCAGCGGTGGGTGCGCTACTACTCGCCGCACTGGCGCACATGGGCGGCTCTCACCATCCAGATCGCGTGGCGCCGCCACGTGGCACGACAGCACGCCACGTCACTGCAACGGTCGCTCGATGCTCATGCTGACGTGGATGTGTGCGGTGGCCAGCTCACCACTGATACTCCCTCGGGCGCTCCTCCTGCATCTGCTGCCACTGCCCCTGCCCCTGTCCCTGTCCCTGCCACTGCCACTGCCACTACCATTGACACTCCCACCACTGCCCCTATCAGTAGCACAGCCCCTTTGGACCCTGCTCTAACTACAACAGCTACCGAGCAAGGGAGGGGGATACCAGGAGATAACGGTGGGGGTGGGACAAGGTTGGGCCGCCCGAGGATGGATGTAGACGAGATTGAGGCTCTACAGAGGCGTGACCGCATGCGGCTGTATAATGCAATTTTCTCATCGCCCAAGCCCCGCGGCTCTATGGACAAAAATCCCTAGCTACATAGGCGAAGAACTAGCTGTTTCCCATATTGCATGTTGGCACTGGCATTGCAAGTCTGACAGCACATGAGTTTGTGTTTTTTTTAACTGTGTTACGGGTGCAATGAATCGAAGTAGCGTGAATTGCACTAAGGTGTCAAACGAGTACAAAATGTGAGCGAAGGCATGAGCGAACATTTATACACGAAACATGCAAACGGTAACGCGGTGCGTGCGAGCTAGCTAGTGCTTCGCTGGAAGCGAGGCTCGGGCTAGTCCGGAAGCGTAGGCCGACACGGCCGGTCCAGCAGTGCGAGGTTTGGGAAAACAGTGCGCGCGAAGTCGGCGAAGCCCCGTTAGCAATAACGGGCGAACAACGGCTGCTGCTGTACGCGATGCTGCAGGGTGCGCTAAGGAATATCGAGAAAATTCCTTACACTACCCCTCCCCCTTCAAGAAGCCCCCTCCGCTACGCGAGTGCGTGTATATCGCGGAAGCCCCGGCTCCTCAGGTACACTTGTAGGGCAGGATGGTTTTTTATGTTGGCTAGGGGCACCCAGCTATCCTCAGTTTGCGTGCGATCCTTCCAGCGAACGAGGAATTCAATCCTCCTGATTCCCGTGGGGTGTCGAATCCGATGGCTCAGGATTTTTTCGGGCTCGATGATCGGCTCTAATGTGTTGGAAACAATAAGTCCTAAGTGCGCTTCTGTCGTATCAAAATCCAAGGTACCAAGCGAAGCAGTCCCAATCGAAGCATCGAGTCAACCTCGGAGGTTAGGGTAACCGCCTGGAGGTTACGAGAAAGTCAAAGGTCGCTGACCTTTGACTCGACAATTACAGCGCGACAGTTAAGGACACACAACTGACTCGTTACAGAGCAGTTGCCCGAGTCGCGCTATATCGAACCGCAACAGCAATACAGTTATCTATTCCCTGTACTCTTATATAAATCCTTGTATTTGCTTGTTTAATTCAATCAACTTTGCTCTCACACACCAGTGCAAGGTCGGTTCAAATTCTTCACTAAACGCTTCCGCTATTACAACTACTTCACCTAGAGTTATCCCTTGCAAAGATTCTAAGGGGCTATCTCAGCCCAACATGGTATGAGAGCAGACAAGGGAAACTCTACTCTTTTTTCAATATCATTACAAGACATGGCAACAAACAAGGAAAGGAGCTCCCCTAATGGCTCCTCGGGCACTACTCCTACTCCACCGTCAGCCTCTGGCCTGCAGACAGAAGAAGGCACGGCAACAAGACCAAGAGGAACGTCAACCGAGACCCCCATGAACCACCCTTCGGACTTTGACCAGAACATGATGGAGAAATTTTTCTCCTTCATGTCCTTCTACGAACAACACCAGCAGTCGGGACCTGCACAAACACACAACAGCAACAACGGAGCGACACCCATGAGTCTTGATGGGTCGTCATATGCGCGAGGAAACCAGCAGCAGCAACCTACCTTTGCTCCGTACGAGCGCGGGTCAATCAGCTTCGTGCCCCACCCGCAACCTTCACCTGGACAAGAAAGACCACTGGACGCACTTCAAGTTCAGTCGCAGTTTGCACACGTCTTAAAACTGCAAACGTCAAGACCCTTCGACGGCAAAGACTTCTTTACCTGGTCCTTTGAATTCGAGCTGATGATGGAGGGCGCGCAGATACTCGGCTTCTTCGACGGGTCCCTGCAGTATCCAGCCAACGGGACACAATATGAAAAGCAGCAGTATACGTATCAATCAATGATGGCGTATACAATCCTATTGAGGAATGTGACACCAACTCAGCAGCAGAACATTCGCTCTTACCGGACCTTCGGCAACTCGGCGGAGCTCGCGTACAGCCATCTGAAGAACCTGTATCAAGCAACAGACAGTGTAAACCAGAGCAGGTTAATGGCGCAGTTGACGACAGTCGAAATGAAACCAGGAGAAAAAGGACTGGCGTATATCAGCCGATGTCGCGAACTGCGCGACAAGCTGCTTCGATGCGGAGGGTCAATCTCTGAAGACGCCTTCGTGACAGTCATCATTGGTGGGCTTGGTACTCAGTGGCGCGCCACCAAAGCCATTCTTCGAGCCCACGGAAGAATCTCTGAAGCTGCACTCTGCGCCGAAATACATGCCGAGCAGCAAGATATGGACCTGCAGGAAGAACGACACAGGAAGAAAACGACAGTATCAGAGTTCGCATTCCACACTCAACGACGACACAGCAATTATAACAACCGACAGCAGCAACCGAAGATAGTACCTCCCTTCTGCCACATCTGCAAGACTTCAGGGCACCCGCGCACACACTGCCCGAATCGTCAGCAATCAACGGCACCACAGCGACAACTTCGACCTTCAAGCTCCCAAATGGCTTCAACACAAGCAAGTGCGACGACCACTATTCAAGCTTCAACGACTTCACCCGGACAACCTGCACAAGGAGCAAGAAATATAATCAACTGCATGACGAAGATAACCGATTCATGTACAACCGAATCACCACCACACTACTCACCGGAAGAAGAGCTTGACAACAGAACGCCTCGCCGTGAGCTACTCCAGCCGAATCCAACGTACGCCGCCATCGCTCAAAGTGAACCGTCCGGCCAAGACACCTGGTTCTTGGACAGTTGCTGCGGGCAACACATGTGCTCGTCCGGGCGTTTCGTACAACGCGAACATCGACTCCAACGGGAAGTGATCATCACGGTTGCCAACAACCAAAACCTGCGCACACGAAGACAAGGAGTGGTACAGCTTCAGTCAAGAGAAACAAATGTCATACTGCACATGTCTAAGGTACTCATCGCTGAAGGACTCGGCTACAACTTACTGAGCGTTAGCCAGTTGATGGCGAAAGGAATTCATCTGGAAGCCGACAGCACGACCCAGGAGTTCAAACTTTACCACGGGAGAGGCGGTCTCTACATCGGGAAAGCAGTGCTGAAGAACAACGTCTTCGTCCTCGACTTCGTTCCTGACCTGGGCACTGCAGACAGCGACGCCATCGTGAATTTCACTGACTGGACACACCCTCCGGATCTCGACCCCGACTTCAGCCCAGGAGGCTTCTGGTACTCGCACACCATTCCTGAAGCAGAACGAACACGAGCATTAGCAACAATTCGACAATCGGCAGCAGTAACAACATCGGCAGCAGCAACAACATCAGCAGCAGTAACAACATCGGCAGCAGCAACAACATCAGCAGCAGTAACAACATCGGCAGCAGCAACAACATCAGCAGCAGTAACAACATCGGCAGCAGCAACAACATCAGCAGCAGCAGGAACAACGACACCAGTCATAGTCGACGAAGCACCACCAACACCCGCGAAACAGCTGAATCCGACTCAACGTGAAGTCCACCGAAGCGCCAACCTCGTCGCCAGCTTTTACTCCAACTCCGACGCATATCAGCGTTCACCTGGACACCGTGCCTCTGAAGAGATCTGGCACGCACGAACAGGACATCCAAGTAACACGGTTTTGAATAACACGATAAGAGCAGGAGTCCTTGACAAAGATTCTCTACTTCTACCCGATGGCAGAGAACTCCAGAAGGCACGAGGGACTTGCCTTATATGTCCCGAAGCTGACTTACCTCATCGACCGTTTGCTTCACATCACAACCCGAGCGCTCCAGCGTACGCACCACTCGAAAAAGTCTACAGCGACATCCTCTACAATCGCGAGCCAGGACAAGTCAACTACAACTACACCATCACCTTCATCGACGCCGCCACTCGATACGTCTGGCATCGCAACCTACCCAGCCGCGACATGGCGCTCGCAGCATTCGCCGCCTGGCTACCGATAGCAGAGAGAGAGTCTGGAACACAACTGAAAAAATTCCAGTCAGACGGAGGTGGCGAGTACACCTCTCACCGCTTCAAGCAGTTCTTGGCGGAAAGGGGGATCAAGCAACTCCTCTCCCTTCCTTACGCACATCAGCAGCAAGGTGTTGCAGAACGACTGAACAGGACCCTGCAGAACAGCATGCGCAAACTATTACGTGGCATGCGGCTACCCAACCACCAGTGGCCAGCAGCAATGGACCACGCTGTCATGCTACACAACTTGTTGTCGTCGTCGTCACTCCCGAACAACGCATCACCGCATCTGCTGTGGACAGGGAAGCAGGGCAGCACGAAAATGTTACGAGTTTTCGGGTGCATGGTACAGTACAGACCCCTAGAAGCACGAGCGGGAAGATTTTCGCAACGGGCACAGTGGGGACTACACCTCGGCACCGAGAAAAATTACAACGCATGGAAAATCTTCGACGTCCACACAAAGGAAACAGTAGCAGCACGTGACGTGATCTTCTACGAAAGACTCACCCTTCAGACGTACCTCGCCAACTTGCACGAGAATCGGGACCTCACCAGTGGTTTTCGTGGTGACCGAG